AAACAAGTATTTCTATGTGTGTACAAGCCGTTTAGATTGTCAAAAAAAAACTGTGTTTTTAGGGTTATTATCAGAGTTCGTGTGCTCAGACCAGTAATATTTGGGGTCACAAGTTTTTGCCATGGATATTTTGTGGGTCAGAAGATAAAATGTTTGGGAACCTCTGCACTAAGGCACACGATATAACCAAATTAGAGCCACATTTGTCTTTTTATATACAAAGTGCTTTCTAGTCATCTCCCAAGGCTAAACTAAAACTGTCAAACATGCAGAGTTGTAAAGTAACTGAGTACAAATACTTTGTTACTGTAGTTAAGTAGAATTTTGGGGTATCTATACCTGAGTAATTATTTTTCAGCCTTCGTTTTACTTCTGCTTCTTACATTTTCACACAATTATCTGTACTTTCTACTCCTAACATTTAAAAAAGGCAAGAAGTAGAAAGTTGTCACTTTTATTTAATTTTTGCTTGATTTCATTCCAGCTTATTATAAAAAATAATTATCCATATACAGTAAATTGTGCCTCCTAGATAGAGTGAATTTAACTCTGGTGAATGAGAATTATAAATATTTAAATTCTGATACGTTATTAGTTTGTGCACAAAACCATCCAGCAGGACATAATCATTAAAATAAAATAACTGTACTTAAGAAGTTATTGTATTTCATGAATTATATTACTGCATTTGCCCGCAGCCCTCAGATAGATTTTCATTTTGGAGAAATGTTTGGGCAGCCTTGATATACGTATATAAATTGAAACATCTAGTGTCCTAAATTTAACGTAAATTATTTTAATAATATAGTCATTTCTGCTTTTTTTTTTTGGGGAGGTCACCTCTTAAAATATTATTACTGAAAATCTAACTGCTCATTTTAAATCAATACTTTTACTTTTAATACTTAAGTACAAAAAATATCATATACTTTAAGACCTTTGCTCAAGTATTATTCCTAAAGGAGACTTTACCTTTTACCAAAGTAAATTTTTGGTAAGATACTTGTACTTTTACTCAAGTATCACTTTGTAGTACTTTATACAACGTGATGCTTTGAGCAAGACCCCGAATGGGATGAGAAATAATCTGGAACTTCTAGAAGAAACAACTGACAATATTGGCACAAATCTGCAATTCAACCCTTACCATGGTTTTCATTTATCTCGTGTTCTGTCTGCAGGTGAGAGGAACATGACCAGGTGACTTTAGTGTCTTGCTAATAGGAAAGAAACAGAATGGTTAATGCTGCAAAACAAATAAAGAGCACCGTGTGGCACAGCAGTGGCTGTTCAGGGACATGCAGCTCTCTCCTGAAACCACCCAAGTCCCAGTTTTTTTTTCTTCATTCCTCCTAACTGCATGTTGCTGATAATACAGCTCTCCGCTCGTCTCGCCTCAAACACTCAAAAGATGTGTTTGTGTTGCTCGGTTGCTTGGCAACAAGTCTGGCAGCAGCGCTCCTGTTGCACAAACTGGAGCCAGCCATAAAKGACAATGACAGGCCATCCTTTAGTCTGTGAGCTTGTACAGCACCTTGGTGTCAGTGTTAATTTACAAGTTATTCAGCAAGCAAAGATTTGATGGTATTACACTGAATTTTTTTTACCCATTTTATTCAGATATTTGGCTTTGAACAATGTAGCACCGTCAAGCTTGACATCACATTAGAAATCATAAGAACAGATTTGTTAATCATTAAACAAATAACCATGTGTTGTACTTATATTTTCTGCTATCAGAGCAAGTAGTGTGCTACTTTAAAAAACTTTAGTGGTTATACAAGCAACATAATATTTCCAAAAGAAGTAAAGTACAATAATACACTGGAAATATATGTTGTTTATTTATCATACAAAATAAGTGAAGGAAGCATTTCATACAGCATCACTGTGTAAATTGTGTAGGTAACAAATGAACACAAGTAAATAAATATATTAACTGGGCAACAGTAAATGCTTCAGCTCTTTTGTCACAGTGTTTCACAGCCTCTTTTTAAAATAATTTTTATTATTTTTTGTCCCCAAACCAAAAGAAACATTTTCTCATATAGGATGGTGAGATAAATCCCAGCTGTAGCATGTAGCGCTCTACAGCTGCTGTACTTAACTCAGAATTTAAAATTGTACATTCTTTATCTGTTTTGTGACATTAAACTGGGCACAAACTCTCAAAATAACTTTTTCTTTCTGGTAAGGAAGATGTTTGCTAAAGCTGCTGACTGAATGGAACAATTAAAGTGTCTTCTTTACAAAAAATGAAGAACAGTGACAAAGACAAACATCTCCAATATTATGCATCGTTTTAGAAGTCTTTGCTGTTTATGAGTAAGAAATTCAGTGTCCTTGCCCCACTATAACGAACACACATCCGGTTTGACTCTTCACTCATCCCTGGCTTCGATCCTTTCCAGCAGATGCTGCTCTACTTGCTGGTTCACGCGCCGGAGGTCTTTCAAACAGCTGGGCTGATCTTCCAGCTCCTCGTAGAGAGTGTGTATGATTTCCAGCTTCCTGTAGTCCTCAGGTCGAACCAGCCGCCGGACAACATACAGGGCTCGAGTCTTAAGACTGTCAACTATGTAAAATCAAACAAATATTTATAAGACATCACTAACATGACTGGAGATACAAGCTTTGATCCCATTTTTTACAACATAAAAATAGGATCCATTTATTTACAATATAATAAAAAATATTTACAACACAAAATTTGGAGTTTTGAAACGATTAAATATTCTCACAGATTTAACTCATTTTGTGTTATTTCAGTTGTTCAGTACTTTGACACTGATCAACTTACACAGTTGAAAGTGAAATAAAGGAGCTGACGCTGGAGTTTGTTCAAAATAAAACTTTTTTTAAGTGCAATTCTGTGGCATTTAGAGCACCAGGACTGATCACAATAAGCTCAAAGTCTTTCATAAACTTGTGGTAGAATTTATAGTATTTAAAAGCCAAATAAATATGAATAGTGATGCAACCCTGATGGACACTTAACTTTTATGTAACTTCCTTCTAGTAATTGCACTTTGATCAACAACAGTCACTAAAAACAACACAAATGCATGGCTTCAGTGAACTTTGCCAACTATAAATTGAACCAGATATGTACACGAATACAAATCATTTTATGTAATTTGATTCATCTTTACCTGGTAAAGTAATATTGAGCATCACGCCTTGTGTGTCTGTTGGTTTGGGAACAAACAGCTCTTTGTTGTTCACCCTCAAAGGCTCGTCTGTAGCCGCATCTCTGAACATCCATAGGTGACCTGGGGAGAAAAAAGTGTGCATTCACATTTTATATTAAAGTCTTGACACTACAGATGACAGTTTCAGCTTCACTTAAAGCCAAAAATAAAGACGACTCCACAGCAGTACCAACACAGGATTACCCTTGTTAGTATAAGATGCAGTGTTTAAATTTATGATAATATTTTTTTACTAGCCACCTCTTCCTAAATTCCCTGGTTTACACTCTGAATATCAGAAGTCATATATAAAAGCTAATTACATATATCAAACTTCAAATAGCATTTTAAATTCTTGGTAACTTCGTGTTTTCTTGTGTTAGTTTCTTACCTACAAAGGTGTTCATTCTTCGTGCTGAGCCTGGCTGTARATCTGGGTAAGGTTGAGGCATACCGCGATAATTTATCCAAACTGGCCGCACAACACGAGTGCTGCGGTTACAAAACAGAGCACTGACTGGAATATCACTGTTCAGAGAGCGAACCAGCGGAAGAGACGCCTTTTCTTCAGACATCTGTGCTAACTAACAAACCTTCACTGCAGAAAAGTTAGCTGAGCTAACTTAGCTCAGTGGCTAACTAACCTGCTAGCAAACCTCTTCCCTGTTCCGTGATGCCAGCTGTGAGCCTCAGCGAGTCTTTAAAATAATGACATCAACATCAATACATCCGTCCGTTACGTTAATTAGTTTAAACTTTAAACTACTACATTTATGATCAAAGATACCTTTCTTACGACTCTTAAATCTACATTCCAGGTGACTTCCGGTAGAGGCATGCGGTGATTGGTCCATAAATATGACGTCGCTATGAACGCAAAACATACGGTTCGTGAAGCCGCAGGAAAAGAATAAACGCAATAAACGCGAAATTAATTTGTTTTTTCCCATGAACTTACCACTTAAAAATTGACATTTTTAAAGCTGCAAGCTAAATGTAACGTAAGCATGTGGTTTTAAACTTCTTTAAAATAAGTTTAGACAACCAGAGTGCTTCTTTGACAACACAAAAAAGCTTTCTGATGTAAAAAATAAAAGACTGAAGTTTTCACCTGCATTTAGTTTCAATTATCTTTTTAATCAGCTTTTATTTCTTTATCCTGAAGCTCGTGGACTCGTTCGCCCTGTGAGAAAGTAATCAGATTACTTGATGGAGTGAGCTCCGCCCACCTTTCAGAGTCAGATAAAAACTGTGGGGCACAGCAGAAACTTAGAACTGAGAGCAACAAATTGCTTCTCCGTGAGGCAATCTGAAAAATAATCTAATATTTCTAAGTTTAAAAAGTCTTTACTTTGATCTGTAATCCAGACAACTGCGGGATAAATATTTAGCCACATCACACATATTTTTAAATTTCTCTTTATGGGAAAAATGTTGACTTTCAAAAGGATTTAGACCCTCTGTGCTCTCCCGCGAGTTTTTTTTTTTTTTTTTTTTTTTTTTTTTTTTTTTTTGTATTTTGTAACTTGTGGATAATGCGCCTGCTGTTGAATGTCAGTGACTTCGCGGATGCGGAGGATTTGCCCAGAAACGAGGGTCTGGCCCGGGTGGAGATCGCGCTGCTCGGCGTCATCTTCGTGACCGCCGCCATCCTCAATACCACCCTGCTGCTGGTCCTCTGGAGGCAGCGCAAACAAATGTCCAGGATGCGCGTGTTCGTCTTTCACTTGTGCGTGGCGGACCTGGTGGTGGCTTTTTTCCAGGTGTGCCCTCAGCTCATGTGGGATATCACGGACAGATTCGTCGGACCCGACTTGGTGTGCCGCCTCGTGAAGTACCTGCAGGTGCTGGGCATGTTCTCATCCACCTACATGATCGTGGTGATGACGGTGGACAGATACCAAGCCGTCTGCAAACCCATGGTGACGTTCCAGCGGACGCGCACGAGACTGAACCTCCCCGTGTGCGTGGCGTGGGGGGTCTCCCTGCTGGGCAGCCTGCCGCAGGCTTTCATTTTCTCTCAGGTGGAGGTCGTGCCGGGCGTCTTTGACTGCTGGGCTGAGTTCATCCAGCCGTGGGGGCTGCAGGCTTACATCACTTGGACCACGCTGGTCATCTTCATCCTGCCCGTCACCACAGTTGTTGTTTGCCAAGTGCGCATCTGCAGGGCCATCCAGACCAACCTGCACAAAAAGACGCACAAGCTGTGCAGCGTGGGGGTCCCACCGCCACCCAGAGCCAGCGAAGTGACTGGCATGTCCAAGGCCAGGGTGAAGACGCTGAAGATGACTGTGGTCATTGTGGTGACTTATATACTCTGCTGGGCTCCGTTCTTCACTGTGCAGCTGTGGTCCGCCTGGGACGCGCACGCGCCAAAGGAAAGTGAGTTACTGCGTGTTTCAAGAGACGTGCTGTGCCATAGAATTTAAAAATGTTTCATGAATATTAGACTTTACGCACAAGCAAAAGGTGCGCTTTTACGCACCAAGGTCGGTGCGTAAAAGCGCACAATGCCGGTGCGTAAAAAAWCAAAAAAGCCTCCTTTTCTTACTGTGATGATGGCTAACACTCCTTCTCTTATTCCAGCTGCAACTTTCACTATTCTGATGTTGCTGGCCAGCCTGAACAGTTGCGCCAATCCCTGCATTTATCTTCTGTTCAGCAGTCAGTTTCCAAACAAGCTGGTGACTCTCCTCTTGTGCCGCCGCCGGCTTTGCGATGGCAAGGATCTGATGCAGAACGAGGCGACGCTCGTCAGCACAATACATATGAGCTTTAAAAATGTCTCGGAGTTAAAGTGACTGCAGGAAAACAGTGGATGAAAACCCCAGAGATCTGCGTGTCCAGAAGATTTTGTTTTTTACACCTGAGCTGTTTGGAGTCTTCTTTGGCAAATAAAAATGTGTTGTCGGGAAAAGTTATTTTCTTGGACTCTTGGAACAAGTCTGGGTCTCAATATCAAACGTTTTGTCAAAAAGAAATGCATTTCTTAATCTGAATTGGACACGGATTGAAGTCTGTTGTTTTGATTTAAAAGNCCCCCCAACAGTCCCCCACCCACCCACCTTTTTTAAAAAATGGTTCTGCACCTATGTTTATAAAATAGTCTCCGCCTGTATGAGGACATAAGGAAATGACAAAAACACAAAGATCTGCAGAAACTTTCAAATAAAAAAAATATGTAATGTTCTTGGCCACCTCTATGTGAGTAGCGGGGTCGTCTGGCCACCCCTGAGAAAAATGTCTGGCTCCACCTCTGTGTGCTACCATGATCAGATGCAAGGACTGGGCGGAAAATGAATTTAAAAATAGTCAAAGTCCAAAGAATAACTTTCTAAGACCTGAACGCCTTGCTCTTTGGGGAAAAAAAATCTTACAAGTGGCTTTTGCACAACAGTTAGGTCCTCAAGTAGAATAAAAAAAACTTTGCACAGTCCTACAAACAGGTGTGCTACACCTCAGACTTTGTGTTACAACAGAACACTGTTTCATCTTAAATGCAATGTTTGTTTTTTTTACCCATAGCTCAGACATTATCTGTCACCGACAATGAGAACAGATAAGATAGAGGCAGATAACCATCCTGTGAAATAACACTGAACAAAAATATAAAATTATTTAAAATAGACACTGTATGACCCCAGTTCAGAAAAAGTTGAAGCTGGTAACAAAGGAATGCAATGATTTGCAAATCTCATAAACTCATTTTATTCCCAGTGAATCATAGTAAACATATCAAATATTTAAAATAAGAAAGTGAACCGTTTGAGACTTGATTCTATGTTTTTTGGGTGTGTGTGTTGGGGTGGTGGGAGTAGGGTAATTCTGAGTTTGATGACGGCAACACACCTCAAAAATGTTGGGACAGAGGCAATAAAAAGCTGTAAAGTTAAACGGTACGAATAAAAACCAGCTGGAGCTGCATTTGGCAACTAATTAGGCTAATTTTCAACAGGTCAGTAAGAAGACGGGGCATAAAAAGAGCCTTTTAGAGAGGCCAAATCTCTCAGAAGCAAAAGATAGAGGTAAACTGTTCTGAGAAAAACAAGCTAAAATTGTGGAATGATTCCAGAATAATCCTGGGAAGACTGAATATTCAATCATCTTCAGCTGAAGAAGAAAGAAAGGTAACATCGGAGCCATAAAACAAGCTGAGTGGTTCTGACAACAAGCTGTGCTGGTAAAATGTCTCATGATGCATCTTCTCAAACCAGAACAAGAACTGCTTTTTTCAAAGGGGTCCTCGCGTTCAAAACAATTAATTACAATATGATGTCTCTTCTTCCACACAGATGCATCAGGTCCTCACTGCACCTGCATACAAAAGAAGCTCGGTCCATGTGCGGGACATTAACGCACCTTAATCCCATTATACACAAATATAAAAGCAAACAACACAATGAAGGCACATGGTGACTTGGCTGCAGATGTGAAGATTAAACATATTCAGGGAGGGCAGTTCTAAAGCTCAGCCTCGTTTTAATAATGTGGTTTTAGGGGAACACACGTGTTGGGAGAGCTGTCAGGTTTATCCACTTTGTGTGTGAAACACAGTTAAACACTAGAGAATCAGACCAGAGGCTCTGTTTGAACCCTGAATGTTTAATTTAACATGGAAAAACAAGCAGAGGCCCATCCTGGATCCGAGCAACTGTCTTCCTCAGCAAAGGCTGCAGGTTTCTAGATGAAAGAGCATGATGGAGACTCAGTCAGTTAAATAACAACTACATCATTTCATTTAAAAGAAAAGAAAAAAAGAATATATTAACAAATTATAAAAAAAAAACTTAATGAGAAAAAAAGCTCAAAAGACGTTTTTTTTTTCAGCCAGTTTGTCTCTTAATTTATAGCAGTAACATATCACCACCAGTAGGTGGCGGTAAAGTTACATAGAGTTGTTTACTACCTGTTAATAAACTGCCGAAGAAGAAGAAGAAGTACTGCTTTCTGAAAAAGTCGATTTTGCTTGTCTATTATTTTGTCTGGGTCAGCATTATATTCTAACGCAAATGACAGCGATAACTACACCCAGTATTTTTTTCTTTCAAAACCAATGTAATTATTAATATTTTTTCTTCTTCCACTCGGGGTTTGACTGTCGGCCTGCTTTGTTGTGAGTCTTGAAGCTCTTCCGCCCGCTGCAATGGTTCGCATCTCTTCAGCGGCGACAAGGTGAGAGGGTTTTCTGAAGGTCTGCCAACGTTCATCCCGAGGCATCATGGCTCGGGTGAGCTTAGAAACGCGACTCAAAGTGGTGAGCCTCCGGCAGCAGGGTCTCTCCCAGGCAAAGATCTCCAAACAGACGGGCATTTCCAGAGGCGCCGTGCAAGCTCTCCTGCAGAAACACAAAAAAACGGGCCAGGTGGAGGACCGTAAACGCAGCGGGCGGCCGCGGAAGCTGAGCGGAGCCGACGAGCAGCACATCACCTCCCTGCGGAACCAGAAGATGTCCAGCAGCGACATCACCTCCGAGCTGGCGGTGACCCGGGGGACTCTGGTGGACCCGTCCACCGTCCGGAGGAGTCTGGCCAGAAACGGCCTCACCGGGAGACCTGCTGAGAGGAAACAACACCACCTGGGATGTGATACAAACACAGACGGGACACTCACCAAATCAGAAACAGACAAAGACTGTGACAGAYTGGAGAAGGAGCTCAGGACTGATGGCTGTGAGCTGAAAACATTAGACTCGAAGGAACCAGACAGCCTCAAACTGGAGTGTGAAAAGGAAACATGTGAAGCATAAGGCTTATTGTGGATTKGCCACATTTGCTAAAGAGAATGAGAGTGTTTTTTACCCATCTGCAGTTTAAGAACTCAAACAAACAATCAAAACCAAAATAAAACCTTACCAAATGWTTCAGAGATTACGTGTAAAACATCCAGGAGAGCGTTTGATCTTAAAGCAGCCCCCAAAAGTTAAACTAACAAGAAAAATCAACACAATTCAGGTAATTACATATTTATAGGTGTTGCGTTCATGTCAAACAAAATAAACACAAAGCTGTCACCTCTTTACCTCACAACACTTTTGTGTGTTCACTGCAATACAAGCTTCTGTGTTTGCTCCAGCCTAAAATAAAACTGAAGACCAGTAAGTGTCCAAGAGACCCTTTCAGTAGTTTTTTTTTTATGACCGACACAAAAGGTAAATATTGCAGTGGGATAACTATCAACAAAAAGAAACTTTCTTTTAAACATCTCGAAATGAAACCTGAAAAACTCAAGAAAAGTCGTATTTCACTGCATTTCTACTGGAAGAGATTGGTTGTGATTCAGTAAAACGTGATATAAAATTGAGTTATCTCCGTGTGAGTTTCTTTGCAGCAGGCCTGTTAACTGTAATTTGACAGTAATGAAAGATAATTCGTTCGTGCATCACTTGAACACACACACAAGMTGTTCTCAGGATCCAGTGTATGCACAGTAACACAGACAGCTTACATTAGAGAATAATAAACAGAGTCCACTTCACTTGGAAAAACTAAATTGCTTCTTTGTGTCGGCAGAACGGAGCTGTGATCTGTGACTTTTTCCAGCTGACTGAGAAGTGTGGCTCAAGAGTCGCGATGTGATCTGAGACCCCTCTTATGAAGGCCTCGTTACAATCTAACACACCAATGTCAAGTGCTTAARTTACCCCCCCTCCCCTTTTTTTTAAAGACATGACTTTTAAATTATGTTTTCTATTGTCCAATCGTTCACTTTTATTATGCTTTACAAACAATGTGCAAATATATGCTACCAGGGTCGGAGCCAGGGGTGGCCATGGCCACCACAGACATCTCTGGCCACCCTGCTGTACACACCCCTTCCACAGCGAAACAACCTTTAGGGGCGTAATAATCCTCCTGAACAGTTGGTGGCAGTATTTAAGAGTTTGAAACATCACCAAGCTCTATCACTGGAGGAAGTGATAGTTTTCTTTATATACAGAACATGTATCTATGCAATCTGACTAATAGTGACAAATTATTATTATTTTTTGTCATTTTATGTTCTGAAGCTGCATGATGCCCTGTCCCTTTTGGTTATGAGTAGACTAAATCAGAAAAAGTTAAACACATCTCTAAATTCACTGTTGGTGGTTATTAATATGGCACCTGTTCATTGGGTAAAGTTATTAATGTTAGTTTTAAACATGCAGTTGAGGGTCATCATTATTTGGCACAATGACGTGTTAAAATTAAAAATAAATCAATAAACAATATAAAAGTAAAAAGCACCCCTAAGGTCATTGGATATGATAAATTGTGTCACAATAATTAACCTTATCTCAGATATAGCAGTGAGTTTAAAAACAGGATGATTGAACTAGTTTAATGAAGAATCTCTGAAATAATTATTAAATCAAGTGTTAATTTATGTAGGTAAAAGAATGTTAAACAACCTGGTAAAATACACCAGAATGCAGGAAATGGTGTCTATTTTGTTCAAAATTTTCTGGA